ATTGATAAGGTTCCTGCATGGATGCTCAAACAATACCACGAAGACCTAGCTCCTGTGGTTTATGACATTGTGTGCTGTAGTATAAGTCAATGTTGTTATCCATCACTCTACAAACATGCCCTAATTTCCCCTGTTCCTACAGTGCAACCGCCGAGATACATTAACAATGATTTCCGCCAGATATCAGTCTTACCCCATCTTGCCAAGATCCTGGAAAAGATCCAGCTCCAGTTAAATATTGAAGATCTGAAAATTAAGAATAACCAGCACGCGTTTATTCAACATCGAAGCACAGTCTCTGCGTTAATATCAACTACCCAAACCTGGTTTAATGCCACTGATTGTTCAAAAACAGGCAAAATGGGGGTTCATGCGGCCTTCATTGACTTTCGTAAGGCCTTCGACCTTGTGGATAACAATATTCTTTTGAACAAATTAGCAGCTATGAACATAAATAAACCCTTCTGGTTATGGATTAAAAGTTTCCTTTCCGGAAGAGTTCAACAAGTAAATCTCAATGGTACCTTATCATCCATTGCAACATGCCCGGCCGGAGTCCCGCGAGGCTCTGTAATATCTCCCATTCTTTTTAATACCTACATTGATGATTTGGAGGACGCCTTACCAGAACAACTAAAAGTCAGTACGAATAAGTATGCAGATGACTGCACACAACACCAAATAGTGAGTGTAGATTCTAATAGTAATTTACAACAATCTATCAATGAAGTAAATAACTGGGCGGTGTTAAATAAAATGGCAATTAATGCTAAAAAAACTAAGGACATGTGGATCTCTTTCACGGACGCTATACCTGAACCACCACGTCTTCGTATTGGAAATGAGTTAATAGAAAGGGTCAACGCTTTTAAATTACTTGGCGTGTCGTTCCAAAATAATCTAAAATGGAACGCACATGTTGAAGAGATTACACGTAAAGCAAATAAAAGCCTTTACCATCTTAGAGAATGCAGGAAATCGCAGTTACCAGCTGAAGTCGGTATTATTACCTATCAATCCAAAATAAGACCAATTCTCGAGTATGCATCACCTGTCTGGGCGGGACTGCCTAATTACCTGCGAGATGAAATAGAGCGGGTTCAATCCAGGAGCTTAAGAATCCTTGGCCTGGAAAAAGATTACCTACCACCGCTGAATGAAAGAAGGGAAGAGGCAACTAGTCGAGAAGTTGATAGGTTTATGAACGATCCAAACCATCCCTGTCGCAGTGTTTTGCCAAAATTAATTAACAATCGGTACTATTTAAGGAACATTGACCGGAATCGCAATATATCATTCTTCTCAGGAACTGAAAGGCATAAACATTCTTTTTCAGGAAGAGCTTCTAAATATGTATAAATAATTTTAACTTATTGGAAGAACTTATTAGTTTAAAGAACTTATTAGTTTTAACTTCCTGGTTAGTTTTCTAAGTTATCTTACAACAATTTGTAATATAAAGACATACCCACAGCATATATACTTTCTTAAACAAGTAATTGTAAGTCCATTGTACTTTTTTATCTTAAGATGGATGAATAAAGCTATTATTATTATCTAAAGATTGAGTGAAGGTGAAAACTCGAGATTCACTTTCAATGTGCTGCTTCAAACTGACACCACGAAGAAATTTTGTAGCTGATTAGCATTTAATTATTTAAAAATTAACTAGATCGACACAGCGATTTTTCATGATACATTGAGAAGTTTTCTCCTAGGTAAAATTTTCTCATCTGGTAATGTATTGGCCATTGGCGAACATTTATCGGCATGCAGGTTTCTGTAGTGTAGCGGTCATCACGTGCGCCTAACACGCGCAAGGTCCCCAGTTCGATCCTGGGCGGAAAAAATAGTTTGATAAAAAACGAACAACATTTTGTTTTTAAATCAAAGTTTAGACTGGTTTGTAGTCATCCTCGGGATTAAGAATTGCACCAATATATTCAACGGCCTCACGAAATAATTTTAAAATTCTCTGTCAGGAGTGGGATTCGAACCCACGCCAACACTAGTGGACCAGAACGCCCTTTGACGGCGCATTAGCGGAGCAAGTTTTGAAACCTGAGTCTGGCACCTTAGACCGCTCGGCCATCCTGACAGCTGACAACTCTTGTGCCTACTGAACATTACGTCATTTTACTTTCTTATATAATGGAAAAAAAATGTTTCAATTAAACCCGAAAATATATCCGACTGCAACTAACTGAACATCGTTTCTCTCATCGCACGTCAGTGGTCCTTCATTGCTTCAACAGAAGAATCCAAATTGGCGGTTGGGGGAGGATCAAATGAACGAATTTTCAGTCAATTTTGAGCGTTTGAAACTGAGGAAGTTTCCATAGGGTCCCGAACATGCGCTTGTTTCCGTATTGTAGCGGCCATCACATGCGCTTTACGCGCGCAAGGTCCGCAGTTCTATCCTGAGCAGAAGCATGCATTTGGTTTTTATTTCCATTAAAATGAAAATAGAAAAATTTAGCAACGCAATGAACTCGTACTTCACCAGCCAAGTTTCTGTAGTGTAGTGGTCATCACGTGCGCTTCACACTCGCAAGGCCCTAGTTCGATCGTGGGCGGAAACAATGGTTTGATGGAAAACGAACAACATTTTGTTTTTAAATCAACGTTTAGACTGGTTTGTAGTCATCCTCGGGATTAAGAATTGCACCAATATATTCAACGGCCTCACGAAATAAATTTAAAATTCTCTGTCAGGGGTGGGATTCGAACCCACGCCAACGTTAGTGGACCAGAACGCCCTTTGGCTGCGCATTAGCGGAGCAAGTTTTGAAATTTGAGCTGGCGCCTTAGACCGCTCGGCCACCCTGACAGCTGACAACCCTTGTGCCTACTGTACATTAGGTCATTTTACTTTCTTATATAATGGAGAAAAAATGTTTCATTTAAACCAGAAAATATATCCGACTGCAACTAACTGAACATCGTTTATCTCATCGCACGTCAGCGGTCCTTCTATTACTTCAACGGAAAAGTCAAAATTGGCTGATGCGGGAGGATCAAATGAGCGAATTTTCTGTCAATTTTGAACGTTTGAATCTGAGGAAGTTTGCATAGGTTCCGAACATGCGCTTGTTTCCGTATTGTAGCGGTCATCACATGCGCTTTAGGCGCGCAAGGTTCCCAGTTCGACCCTGGGCAGAAGCATGCATTTGGTTTTTATTTCCATAAAATGAAAAGAGCAAAATTCAGCAACGCACTGAACTCGTTCTTCACCAGCCAAGTTTCTGTTGAGTTGTGGTAATCACGCGCGCTTCACACGCGCAAGGTACCCAGTTCGATCCTGTGCGGAAACAATGGATTGAAGGAAAACGAACAACATTTTGTTTTTAAATCGACGTTTAGACTGGTTTGTAGTCATCCTCGGGATTAAGAATTGCACCAACATATAATTTTAAAATTCTCTGTCAGGAGTGGGATTCGAACCCACGCCCACATTAGTGGACCAGAACGCTCTTTGGCTGCGCATTAGCACATAAAGTTTGGAAACTTGAGTCTGGCGCCTTAGACCGCTCGGCCATCCCGACAGCTGGCAACCTTTGTACCTACTGTACCTTACGTAATTTTACCTTCTTAATAATGGAGAAAAAATATTTCATTTAAACCAGAAAAATACATCCGACTGCAACTAACTCAACAACCGTTACCTACATCGCACGTCAGTGCTCCTTCTATTGCTTCAAGAGAAGTATCAAAATTGACTTCCGCGGGAGGATCAAATGAATGAATTTGCAGTCAATTTTGAACGTTTGAAACTGGGGAAGTTTGCAAAGGATTCCGAGCATGCGTTTGTTTCTGTAGTGTAGCGGTCATCACATGCGCTTTACGCACGCAAGGTCCCCAATTCGATCCTAGGCAGAAGCCAACCTCGTACCCAGGGTCCCCGTGTTTAATGGTTCTGGTGCTCGTGGAGGGACCCTGGCAAACTCTGACTGCCAGGTTACCAAATAATCCAAAAATCTTGGGGTATTTGTCGACCCGGCCTTTTTTAGCATTGGCATAACGGGGGGGGAAGACTCATAATAAAAAATATTTATATTTCACAAACTGCAAGTTTTTATCAAAGTCAGCTGTTTAAAAGGATTTTTATTGCACCTGTCGTACGATTTATCACATTTTGATATGATATGTGATATTTTGAAGTGGAAAGTCATTCAATTACTGGTTAATATCGAAGAATTTTAACTGATGATCCGCCATCATGCCATGGAAATGTATATATAAATCTATATACAGAGTTCTGGTTAAAAAAACCAGGTACTGTATTAAATACCACCATTAGGTATCAAATATATTCTCATACTGTATATAATGTTTACTCAAATTTGAATCTCTACAAATTGTTCTTTCCCATTGCAATTTGCGGCTTCTTATGCTATGCTTTTCAAGCCATGGAAAGACTTCATGTCAATTTTAAAGTCCACTTGTTCGCGCAGCTTGGCTTTCTCTCAAATGGTTTGATCTACTTCGGGTCCGGTCCTGTACCATTATTACTTGATAGTCTCTTCACATCTCAGATCTGAGACTTGTTCAAAATTTTGTGAAAAGAATTTGATGACTTGAAGTACAAGAGGAGTCTCTTCTTGTTGATGTTGTTTCTTAAGCCATCACCATCTTTGCATGATGATCATGCAGTTGCATCAAGAACAGAGCTAACTCTATATATCATGTTTAAACCGTAGAACCTATCATTGTTTGAAAACATTTACACCATAATTATTATTCAAACTGCCAAGATGACTAAGTATCAGACAAATTAAAAATTAAAGTTATAGATTTATTTTTGTGGAGAATGGATGGATGTTAATAAGGGTACAACACAGGGGAGCGTTAGTGGCCCCTACCTTTTTAATATTTTCTAAATGATTTAGAGGTGGACATAGACGGCGAGAACGCTCTTTTTAAATATGCGGACGATTCAAATATAATAGTGCCAGTTTGGAGTGAGGGTCCTGATACATCAACAGATACAGTTGGACAATTCCTGAGCTGGTCTGATAATAATTTTATGATTTGTAACCCTGGTAAATGTAAAGAGCTTATCATCCGGAAGAAGGGATATAATGATCAACTTGACAATGTTTATAATATACCCCAATGCAAAGAACTTCCCATTTTAGGTACTACTTTTCAAGACAATCTCAAGTTCACCAGTCATGTGCGAGGAAAATTGGTCAAAGCAAACAAATGCTTGTACGTTGTACGAACACTCAGGGCAGAAGGCTATAGCCAATGTGAGATAGATTATCTATTTAAGACCCTAGTAATATCTACTATAACGTTTGGCCTGTCCGTCTACGGTTCTTCTCCAGCCGAACTCAATACTCTACAACGGTTTTTTGACAGATGTTTTAAGCGAAAGTATATATCAGAACCTGTAAATATTAGATATCTTTTAGAAATACAAGACAGAAATATTTTTAAAGCTTCTGTAAATCAGAAGAGTGCCATAGTCGACTTGATACCAAGAAAAAATCCACAAGCTACTCTTTGAGGACAGAGTTTAGTCAGTATCCAAGAGTGAACACGGAACGTTTTAAATTGTCGTTTGCAAATAGATTAATTTTTAACTATAACCCATTCATATGATGTAAACTTTACTAATGTATTCTTAATATATACTTGTAACATAAGATATGTATTTTTATCTTTTGATCTATTAAAAAGACTTTTGAAAGACTTTTGAAAAGATATTAGATAGTTATTTTCAAAACTGAATTGAATAGTCAAATTGTTAAATTATTAATTAAAATATTGTTTAATTTATATATTATATTAATACAGTAAATAATATTTAAGTTTGAGTAAACATTATATGCAGTATGAGAATATATTTGTTACATAATGGTAGTATTACACTACTGATAGTGTTTTTTTTATCCAGAGCTTTGCAGTATAGTATATAGATTAATACATTTCCGTGGCAGATCACGAGTTCAAATTCTTCGATATTAACCAGTAATTGAATGACTTTCCACTTCAAAATATCACTTGTGATATCAAAATTTAATAAATCATGTACCAAGATCAAACATATTGGTTAACCCCTTATGTGGCAGCGCTCTCCCCTTGACAAGTAAAATCATCTGGTGTTGAATCATCTGGCATTAGACAGAGTAAATAGTAAGGTAGGGCGCAATGCGACTCAGTGGGTTAACTGGACACATGGGCAGTTAGGCCAGTTAACCATTAAGTCCCAGCATGATCTCCCCTTGATGAGTAAAATCGTCTGGTGTTGAACAGAGTAAAATAATAAAGTAGGGTGCAATGCGACTCAATGGGTTACAATTTAAACGCTAGCGAATAAAAACTTATATTTGTAAAATATTTTTGATTTTGAGTCCACAAGTAGGCCATTGCCAAAAAAGGCCAGGTCCAAGATTTTTGATTATTTGGTAACCTGGCAATCGCAGTTTGCGTTGAGTTAGTTGTTTCAAAATGTGACCATATTATGTCAGCTGAAGACATGTTTGTGAGCTTTGAAATTTAGGATATGCAGCATGCATATACCAGTACTTTTTTAAGATAATTACTGACCTTTGTGAGAAATAGGTACAAGTTCAATTCAAATTTGTTATGTTAGTTACATATTATAGTTTCTATTTTTGAGTGATCTATTGCCAGTATGTATAGTATAAGACAAACATGCCCAAGTTTTTCCTTGTCACATTTTGAGCTGGGTTGTTCATATTGAATAAAGATCGCTGAAACTTTTTTTGGGGGGGGTGGGCTGAGAATAAATAGATTGTGTTCTTCATTTGCGAACTTGTCCAAAAAAGTGGGAAAGGGTGTTATATCATACCAATAAGCTGCATGCATTGATCACAGCCGTTGAATGGCAAAGCATGCATGTTTGTAGATAAGATTGTACTCTATCTATTATAAAATTTCACTACAATGAACATATAGACCTCCACTCATCCGTGATGGGAAATGGGGTTGAAACAATCGCAGAACGAGTCTGCAATTAAAGGACAATTTATTTGTCGACAATCCCTATTAATACAAGTATAAACTATATGAGGATTTTGTTTACACATTTATACTGTACATCATAACTATATTTAAAATTTCTACATGCATGTCAAATTGAAAAATTCCAAAATATAATAACATAGACATGTGCCTTAGACGTGGTATTTTCAAAAATCAGCATCAACGATGCCGATAAAAAAAATAAGAACAGACAAAATCAATTTAAAAATTTATAAACTGTATTTTAATAATAAAATATACATATAATTTATACACTTAATGCATAGCCTTGCCAGTCAGGTTCTTTAAAATAATTAAAATTGTCGTCTTTTTTATCCAATAATGGGTCCATTATAGGCTATAATTTATGTAGCAAAGCATTCCTGTCAATATTAAATGGACTCTTAGAGATCTATCATAAATAGCCAATCTTTGATTGTGATTCATCTTTTTAAATTGTCAATATTCATACTTCTTCCGTTCTTCGAATCCCTTCGATAGACAAGATTCGCAAAAGTATGTAGATTGCCGCGGCCAGTAGGTTAACGAAATTGTAAGAAGAATCTTATTGTTTATATATCTTTTATTT